TCGAATATTAAGCAATTTAGATGTTTGTTTTTGTTTTTTGTTTTTTTGACTTGTATGGCAATTATGTATTAATAATATAATTATTATTAACATCATAATGATTTATTGAAATTACAATTTATTATAAAAACGATAAGTAGTATTCTGCCGTCCTTACTTAAATCGTCGTATCTACAGTTTTCCTAATTTTCAACCTAAATGCAAATTCTTGAATATGGGTGTTATTTCTACCTATTTGGCTAAGTAAGAACGTCCTAGCTGCTTTTAAAGTTGCTAAAATATACCTAAACATATCATCCTATCTCCAGTATTAATACATTTCCTAAGTGAGAAAATCGTATCTGATATTTACTAAAGTAAATAATCCTAACTAGCTTTGTTCAGTCTTATGACTATGTACATGAGTATTCAATGTGAAGGCTTTGCTACGTTAAGATGTCCTATGTTACCACGTGCTATGTTAAATTGTCCTATCTCACATTTTTGTTGTAGATAGGATGAATTTACTGAGTTTACATGGGAAAATTGGTTGCTGATTTCAATAAACCTCTCTCACATAGGCTTTAATGGGAAATAATTTACAGAACATAACCTATAAAAATCAGTATGCAAGTAGTCTGCAATCATCCATGTGTTTCCGTGTTTTGTTGCTATACAATTATTGTGAATTACTAATGTACTAATTATTACAATACTAATAAGTGGTGGTGACAAGGAATGCCTGTTGGTAGTCAAGTGCTAATGGTAAGTATAAGATACAGACTCATTAAGATTTTATGATTATTCCAGTTAGTGATAAAAATCACAGCTGATAATGTGTTTGCCGAATGAATTTGCCGAGTGAATAATGTGTTAAAATTGTCCCTATTATTCAATGTTAATGATTTAGGGTTTTATTTTTGTGGTAGAAAGAATGGGAAGTATTTCCATTTCATATCATATTGTAAATTTCCCTAAAGACATTTTAGTTGCACATCTGATAGATTAATAAAAAACATAGGTATACTTAACATAAACCTAGCACCTTCATTTGCTTCTACCTTGCTGTCAATTAGGTTATAAGAAAATAAATACCGATTGCTGGATGCCTTTCTCGCCTGCGTCGATTTCATCTTTTTCTATCAAATATAAATAAGTAGTCTGGTAAGTTTAATTTTTGCTTTTAGAAAAATGGAATCTCGCGGTAAAAAAATTGTATCCATGGTATTAAATAAGAAGTTACAAGAAAAAATTTCTCAACTAAAGAGCAATAGGGAACCTAAACAGAGCAGTAATGATGATGATGATCCCGATTATCTACCGCTATATTACGATTCCAGCAGCGTCAGCAGCCATCATAGTAACGTTAGTGATTTGGAAAATTATTCTGAATATGGGAACCAGATTGCGAACGATGGAACTAAGTTCGAAAATGAAGAGTACTGAATTCCTATGGAACCCGATAAATCCACGAGAATCACTATGCTATCAGATATAACATTGGGACCAATTTCAGGAAATCACATGGCACAAGGAAGAGAAAACAATCAAGAAACAATGTTTGAAGAAAATGAAATGTGGATTAAAAACATGTTAATAAGTGTAGTAAACCAAGTTGTTAATATGCGTGAGAATTTAGAAAAATATGTGTATACCAAGAAAGGGATCATTCGCAAGCGAAAAATGTTTGAAGCACCTCTTGTTGAAAGGAAAAAACAAAAATTACAAGAAAATGCATACTGTTAAATTACCATGTATGAAATGCATAAAGAACTGCCCGAAAAAAATAAATGTTGAGACAAAAGGAAATCAACTCTCAGTTCTGGGAAATGAACAATACTAATCAAACATCATTCTTATTTGGATGCATAAGAAAGTGTCAAAAAGGAAGAAAAACAACAAAAGGACGTTCAAGAAGGGAAAACTCATTTAAATATTTTCTTAAAGATGTCAATGGCATAGACACGTCTGTATGCAAAACGTTTCTCCTAGCTACATTAGGATTCAATTCTTCCAATGACAGTCTGTTGAAATCCGTCCGAAACACTGAATCTACAGCTATTTCACCGAGGATTGATAGACACGGACGTCATCCTAATCACGCAAAAATAATTAAGGAGCATATTAAGTCCTTTCGTCCAGTTATATCCCATTATAGAAGGGAGCATGCTCCAAACAGACTCTATCTGCCAGCTGATATATCTGCTACCCTCATGTATAAAGACTTCAAGGAAAAGAATGCGAATCTTAAACTGTCTTACGAGCTATATAGAAAAGAAATAAGAGCAATGAATATTTCATTCGCGAGACTTGGGAATGAGGAATATTTTGAATGTAAAAGTTTAACTTACACTCAACAACTACTCTTCATCAAAAAAACAATTTACCCGAAGATTGCGACTCATGCATGTTATGGAAAAGGCATAAGGAAAAATACAATATTGCCAGGGTGGAATACCAAAAGGATGGGAAACAATTCATAACTGATAAGTTGGTGGTGACTTACAAAAGGTATGCTTAGCTAAAGTTAAATTTTTTTTAAGGACTGAGAATTTATTATATCTTTGAACTTCCAGGTGATCATGCTGCCACGGGCGGATATGTTTAAGGAGGTTATTTTCATTCCAAGACTGATTGCCTTTAATGAGTCCTTTGTACCAGTTGGTCAATATACAAAGTCCACGAAACCTTTGGCGGTGGTGTGGCACGAAGTAATCCGAGATAGGAAAAAAGAAGATTTGATTTCAACATTTTATGCGTTTCTATTGAGAAATAGAGACGTGTCTAACATAACGATTTGGCTGGACAATTGTGCAGCCCAAAACAAGAATTGGGCTTTATTCTGTTTTTGTATCTACGCTGTCAATAACTGTTCAGAATTGGCCTTGAAAACTTTGGAAATTCCACCGTTAGGTGGAAAAATCACTTAAGAGAATAGGGAAGGTATTAGACTTTGATGATTTCAAACGTGCAGTTAACGATGCAAACTCTTCTAAAGTTGACATTAAAGACATGACTATCAAATACTTTTTTGACTGGAAAGATTTTAGTTCCAAATACAAAATTCAAAGGATTCCTAAAACATATTTGCAAGATATGTTACATTTGGTATTTAGGGAAGGAGAATACGTAATGTGGTATAAAAACAACTTTCTTGACGATAATTTTGTCAAACTAAATTTTCTGACAGCCAAACACTTCAAGCAAGGAATGCCGAAGCCTACTTCCAATCATGAATGCCGAGGAATATCCGAGACGAGGAAAATTTTGGGAGCATGTACCCATATGTGCTGACGGCAATAATGATGACGAATTTATGGATGAGGTGTAATAAGTTTTTATTTTATTATTATTAAATTATTTTTGAGGATTTGAACATTTTAGTTTCCGGTTGACAGGATATAATTGTTTTACCACTCCTATCACAGAAATTTTCATCTATGTTTACTGCATGAATAGCTATATTTTTTACCAAAATACGTATGTACTATGTTTGTCAATAAACTTGATAAATCATATATTATTTAGTAGCATTCCTTTTTCTTTACAGTTTTCTATATTTTAGGTGTAATTTTACTAAGACATAACATCTTATCTGCACATTTCTCTACATTCAATTTCAAATTCAGTTATAACTAAACTTACACTTTTTTAATCGTAAATAATGAAAATATCCATACGCTTTGAGATGGCATACAAAGATTGAAAAATAAATGTTGAAAGATATGGACAGCGATTAATTTTCCCTTTAAATTGAATTATCTCAGTTTCAACATTTTGTCACTTAGGATGATTTCAGTAAGGACGGCAGTATTTGTAATATCATGTCCAAGAGCTATAAAAAGGTGGTTTTGAGAAAATCGCGTTTAAACTTTCGAATAAGAAATACTGATTCTTTTCAATGATTTTTCAACTAATCTAAAAGTACAGGGCTATTTTGTACGTATATTTAAGTTTCGTTGCCAATAACAATATGTGTATAATGAATTCATATTATAATTATACAAGAAGTACTTAGAATTTTGCTTTCATATACTGCTGTTAATGTCACAGAATACCTCGGTAATTTTGTTGTAAAATACTATAATTATTAATTATTCTCTTAGAAATAAGGAATTTAGCTTTACTTTAATATATAAATAATTTTTTTAATTTTCAGAAATAACGCCTAGACGATTTTTTTAATGTTATAATTTTTTGTTAATATCTAATTTTATATTATTAAAACACAACATTAAAAATTCATAACTTTAATTGAAATTTTAAGCCGATTTGATTGTATTACAGAAAAAAAAGTTTATCAGTGAAGATCTGGGTGTGCTAAATCTCACTGAACAAAACTCGTAATAGAAAGTGCCGAAGAAACTGATGTGGACGATGCTGGAGCTTAAATACTAGGAGAATGGGCTTATCCGTAAAGAACAGTTTGGTTTTAATGCGGAAAGTTGAAGAGTATGCGATTGGGAGGATGATGGAGGTGGTAAAATGCAATTAGAAATTATTTCCTCAAGATTTTTTCAAGGTTAATGATTTATAACCTGAATAATATTCAAATTTTGTATTTTTGTAAACATAATTTCAGTTGTCATCATCAATATCATCCTAAACACTAAATTTATTTCGACATTAATAAAGAATGCTATTAACCCTGACCCATTAACACAATCTGACAAAATAAAATTTATTACCCATGACGATATTTTTTTGTCGCTTATTTTTTATTTCAAATTATTCGGCGTCAACTGACATCAATTGAAGGTCGATAACCTGCAGATGTGTAAATCCTCTTTAAGATGAGGACAACTGCGACGAACGACAACGATTTGGCAATACTTGTTCATGTGTGTGTGTGTCTAAAACGAGGATTGTATAATATTTCTCTTGTTAAAGATTTTTTGTAATAGGTGGGGTGGGGAAATGTCTCCAGGATATTAACACAATACAGGGTGCGGTGGGGAAAATGTCGATTTCTTCGCCTCTATTGATGAGTATAAATATAATTCTTCCCGACCAAACACTTTAAAAACACGAGGAACTCTCATCCTAAGAGATAACAATCATTAACTAGTAGTTTCTTGATCACCACCATGAAAGTCGTAAGTACTTAAAATTTATTATCGTTCCTAAATTCGAAGTGCGAAAGTTTAAGAAGTGAAAGTAATGTTTGGTGTTGTTTAGATTTTTGGAACTTTTTTCTTTTATTTGAGCGTCGTTGGATTTCCGCAAGAAACGCCTATTCCTATTTTAAGACAAAATCAAGAGGTCAATATCGATGGATCTTACAGATGGAGGTAAAGTAAAGTATACTTCCTATTTTTTAATAAATCTATTTATCTGACTAATTTAGTTATGAAACTGGTAATGGAATAGCAGCTGAAGAACAAGGATTCTTAAAGAAGGATAGCCCCGATCAAGAGATTCAAGTTGCTCAAGGTCAATTTAAATATAAAGATTTAGATGGACAAGATATCGAATTAGCTTACATCGCCGATGAGAATGGTTTTCAACCTCAAGGAAACCACCTTCCGACTCCTCCACCAATTCCACCATCGATACAACGAGCTTTGGAATATTTAGCTACTTTACCCGATGAGGCGAATTCAAAAAAGAAATTTTAATTAATTTTAGATAATTTATTCAATTAAAAAATTTGTTAATAAAATGTGAATAAAAATTAATAAATAAAGGTTATCTTTAAAAGTTAATGTTAATTATATGTGATTATATGGGTAAATGTAAATGATAGGTTTTAGAATGGCAATGGTTTTAAGTTGAAAGTTTGAAGTGAAAATGTTCGAAATGCAAATGTAAATCGTAAAGAGATGTCTTGACATTTTCGAGTTATTTTTATAAGGAAGATTATGAAACAATTCCAATTGGTAAATGATAGTAATTACTTCGTAAAGGAATTTAAATCTTAAAATGTCGTAATAATCCGAAAAGTAATAACCCGAAAGCGGAGAACGAAAATCCTATTTTTTAAAGAACAAAAGGAGGAAAACCAATGTAATAATCTTCATTATTCTCCTCAAACCTTGAACGTATAATTACAGGAAAAGACATTTCACTCTTTCTTAATCATAACGTTCATATTTCGTGTTTTGAATTCATTTACACTTTTCAAAATTTTTTTATTTTGTATTATCAGCCTTCAAATCATACTTTTAAAGCTTCATCAAACACAGATATTTACAAAACACATATTTGTATACTGATTATTTCGAAGATCAAATATGATATTATAAAATCTGTATTTGTTGGTCGTGTGACCTTTCTGGTTGGCATTTCGATTATTAAAATGTTATTATCCATCCCTCCTTCTCTTGTCTCTTCTCTTCTCATCGTCCATATCTAAAAAATTTTCTATCCGACATCTATGAACGGTTTAAACGATTATAAGTGCCACAACTTCTTACGGCATATTGCATATTTACGGTTAAACTTCAAGGTTGCAATAAAAATTGTTGTGTTGAAAAGACAATCGGCCGTTTATTAATCGCTTTTAATGGGTGATCTTGGAGGTTTTTAAAATTTATGACATTTTATGTTGTACATGTTATTTTTAATTGGATGTAGAGGAAGATTATACTTTGAGATCACTTTAGAAATCTTTTAAATATCTTTCATTATTTAATTATCAAACTGTTTCGTTATCGTATTGTGAAGCAAGAAATTTCGAAAAGTTTAAAAATTGTGTAGTAAGTCATCATAAATTACACATTAAGAAGTTAATTGTTGGGTTGAGTTTTTCATAATGAAATTTAGAACAAAAATTAAGTAATCTTAGATTCACTCATTTATGAGGATTAACAAGTCAATGAATGAAAAAAAATAATTATCTCTTCTTTAAGAGGATGTGTGATAATTAATGTGGATTTCATAAATGATATTTATAGATAAAAGTTTAGAAAAATTTGTAGGTAATAGTTCTGTTTTTACACATTTTTATTGAAAAAAAAATATATAAATCATAATCTTGGGGGACTTAAATGCGACAGTTGACAACGAGATTATATCTGGCATTAAAAAATGATTCACTAGAGGATGACTCAACTAAAAAATTATAGCAACGATGGCTTGAGAAAAAATTTCGACGAACAGGGCGACACTGACATAGCATAGAAAAAATTACGTCCAATTATAATGAAATGTTCAAAGGAAGCATTAGGGAGAAAAAATGAAAAACAGAATAAACGCAAACACCTACTACAATGGAAGTGCAGCATACTGATATCAATCTTCAATAAGTGTGAAAAGACAAACCGAAGCAATGTAATATAGCAATATTGTTCTTTACAAATTTAACCAAAATAAAATTTCCTACATCAGGCTTTTTGTCAGCATACTCTTTCAAGTTGTCATAAACATTCACACTATCTGAGCTATCGGATGTCACTGCATATTCAACTTCTTCATCTGTGTCCGAGGACTATTCATTATGCTTAATCTTTTTTGTTTGTTTCGTTCGTTTTCGTGATATTTTGTTTTCATCTTGAAGCTCTTTAATACCGGTTTTATTTATATTCCGACATCTTTTCTTTTCTTTTTCTATAAGATCTTCTTTTTTTGACGATGCTGTGATTATAGTACTTTTGCTTCTTTTTCTTGGCTTCCGATCTAGTTTTCTTGGCTGTGCCTTAGAAATTCCTTGAAATTCATGAGGGCTAATGAATTTTTTTGTAAAGAACGTTCAGGTTCTGGTGTGGAATGTCTAATGTTAGAACTGTCACTTTTTGTTAAGCTGTCTGTGGAAGGTCCTAGAGAGCAATTATTATTTTCTAATCTGCTGTCTTGACAACCAACGTTTAACAGTGCATTAGTAAGGTTTTGGTTATTAAATTCTCTGTCAGTAACAGCCGAACTCAAAAAAATCTGCGTCTGAAAACAATGATACATCGAAAGGGTAAATACCAGTTTTTTTGAACCCTGATATTATATTCGTAAGAGTTAATACTTTCATATGTGCCTGACCAACGCACTTAGCAATGTTATAAATTGTTAACAGTTTTCCAGGTTTTTTCATAAGCTATGATTGACATGCAGCATTATAATACGATTTAAATGGCCCAAAGACCTAAACATCTAACATCTCACACCCAAACATCTAAAGGCTGTAGTTTATTGCTGCAGTGTGGCGGCAAAGTAAGGAGATGAACGTCTGCTGCTTTGGCTTTCTCTACAACGTTGATAGAAATGTGACTTTCATGGTTGTCAAAAATCAGTAAGGTGGACCTATCGTGCTACTCTGAGAACGATGAATGAAATGATCTATAACTTGCGAAAATAATATTGTGTTCATCCATCCACTTGGATTTGCAATCCCAAAGTTTGTTGCCACAACTAACGTTAATCATATGTTTCTTAAAATATTTATAAGGGAAAATCATAATAGGCGATAAATGAGTTCCTAAAGCACATATGATGGCACAGGTCGTGACTAGCTGGCCCCTTTCGCCGCTGGTACTGGCATTTACTTGTTTTACGCCTTTCTCCGCAACTATCTTTATAGGTGCATGGAGTGTAGTAGTACTAGTTTCATCTAGGTTGTATACTCGAGAAGGGTCGCCAAGTTCTGGACGTTGTTCTACTAAACCTTTTATGTTCTCGAAAAAATATTTACGTTATGTTTAATAAAAAATGTCAGCCTTGATATGCTACACGCCTCTGGCTTACGAATACTCACAGTTTTCTGTCTTTTTAGGAAACCAATCAAGTCCAGCTAGCTTATTATTTTTCCAAGATCCTGGAATCTTTTTGTTATTTCGAACTACTCATTCAAACGCCAATTTTCTGACTGCAAGAGGCGATTCCGTATGCCATCTTGTTACAAGTTGTTACGTAATCAGATAAGGATTATTCTTCATCCACATCAAATATTCTGTTAACAGGGTAATTAAGTTCCACAGAAGTTTCTTCACCAGGTATGCTTTTTTTCTTTCGCACATAACGAAATAATGTAGAGTATTTAACTCCAAAAGCTTCAGCAGCAGCACACAATGCTTGAAATCAGTATAAATGACGTACAAAAACAATTTTTCTTGTATGTTCCGCAGAGTGTGGATATGGTGTATAGTTGAGCTACTTTTCCTAAATCCATTTTGATATTGGCCCAGAGGTATTTCGAAGTAAGATTAAATACGTCAATATATTATTCCTGATAGCACTTTGTAGGTGGTGTTAGTAGTGTCAAGTCTTTGTAGTTGTTGCAGATTAGTTTGTCTTCCTTTTTATACATAGATGGGCTAAATAACACCTATCTTCCACACTTCTAAAATTAATTCATTTCTCCATATTTTTTTTGTATTAATTTATGAATTTGTCTTCACATGTTCTCTCCTTGTGGTTTTAATAGTGCAGCAGATATTGTATCCTTTCCAGGGGATTTGTAATTCTTTTACTTCTTCATTGTTACACTGTTTCTTCGGATGTCGGTTTCTTACTACCGGAACTAATATATTTCTGATGTCAAAAGCTTCACGAAGTATTCCTTCCATCTCTTTCTAACCTCCATCCTTTTATTCACAATTATTCTGGTGTCATCGTTGCATACTGGTAAATTTGGTTGATACCTTTTGGTGGTTCTTTTCACGCACATAAAATTTTTTTACTTTCTTGTTTGCTGTTATGTTTGTTTTATTTTTGTTTAGGCTTTCACTTTTTTTTCTTTAAGATTGTTCATACTCAGCTCTGTTCAATCTTGTGTATTTGTTGTAGGCATGTTCTGTGTGTCCCATTTTTTTTCAATTCCATCTTCTTGTTTCTTCTGATGTGAAAACTTTTCCAGTTTTTATTCAAATTTTTTCCTTTTGTTATCATCTTCCAATACTCTTACATTCCATATTTTGATGTTTCTAAACATGTTTTGGCTCATGGGGGTATCTCGAACCATTTTGAAATTAGACAAGGGAGGCTACTTATGACATATGTGTAATTACTGTGTATTACGATATGTTGTTTTAATTTTTTGGATGTTACGATTAACTAACAAAGTTTTATATAATGTATTAACTTGATACAAAAAATGTTTGACCTCATTTCAAAATTTTAGATTATGGGATTTCCTCTCAAATATTAAAAGGTTTCTTCGCTCTCTGACTGTTATGAATAGTTACGGAAATTTTTTATTAATATTTATTTATAAAATGTCAGCCTAAATTATCATTTCCTAGAATGGCAAAGTTATGAGCTGCTATGGGAAATATATGTTCGCTTGCATAATTATTTAAGTTTATGCTTAATAAAGTTGTTGCTACAGGTTACTATTTTGTTAATTATTCAGAAAAAAAAAAGATTGCACCGTCAGCTGTTTTCGGAACCACTGACAAAATTGTATTCGAAGTTGTAAATCACGCTCATTTAATACTTGATTGGATTATGCAACAATTGCACACGTAATATGCACCATACTACAATTAACACATCAATTGTAATAGCAATAAACAGTAAATTTACGTTTTCATTTCTGGAATGTACAGCAACGGACTCGGGTCAGAATGACTTTTTGAAAATATTAATACTTATTAATATTATTTACCAATCATAAATGGTTATCTCGGAAACGAGGTTAATTAGACAACGCATTTAATAAGCAAAAATACTATATGCCTTCAAATGTGCATTTAATGTATTACTTACAACCTGCTGAATATGATAAATTGCTTACAAATCTTGTTCCGTAATCTACACTACATGAACTAACATTTAAAGGAAAAATCGGAAAAGATTTACACGTAAATTTTACAACTACTTTTCAGAACTACAACTCAAAGAAACTTAGAATAGTGTTATAACCACCTAGATCTTTTATATCAACATATAACACTATGAGTAGCATCTTTTTATTAGCAGCATAAATTTAAAACGTCCCGAATTTTAGACAACTTAAAATTTTTTGCTTCCATCGGTAATTACTGCAGTAATATAATTCTCTTATCGTTGTATTAATATCAACCACTTAGCAAAGTGGAATTGATCTTCAGTACATCAAACTATAGTAAATTGGTATTACTACGGCCAATATTACGATAGGATTTCATACGTTTTGAGGAAGTGTGGATCAAATCATGACTAGAATGTTGAAAAGCTGATAGTTAACCATGGGTAAGTATACAGCCCGAATGATATGTACTACCGAAATCGATAAAGAGACGATATAAAGCGAGATGGTGGGTAGTTTGATATTACATCGGATACCATAAATATACAAGAAAAGTGTTGTAGTAGTTAAATTTGAGACCTGCTATACTTCAACATGTTAAATATATCATTACTCAATCGGTCGGTGTGTAGCTTAACTGTAGGCGACCTCGATTAGTTTACATAACACTGATCAAAGTTAAAACTTTTCAATTTTAAACCTTAGAAATTATTATTAGGGGTTATAATTGGCCTGAGCCTGGAACATTCATACTTTTTCTTCTTAGGATTGAGTTGGGGTTACAGTGACTTGTCGTATATCAGTAATATCGGTATAAGAGCTTATAACCAATTCAATGCATGTATTGTTGTGGAAAAATCACTACATTAGGATTTTGGCTTATTCGTCCAGCTGCGGCGATTATGGTTGCACTGAACTTGGACGATTGATGACTAATGATATGAATGTTGAATTGCTACGGATTGAGATTATCTTGAATCATGTTAAACATATCACACTCACATCTTTAATATTAGCAGTTGGTGGATCTGTGCTCAATTTTTGCTTTTTATTTTTTTCTATATCTGTAGCATATAAAGAGAAAGTATTGTAATCAAGCAAAAATTCCACATTGATATGTTGATTAATCTGTATAATTTGACAGAAAGCTGTATTGATTTGATAGTTCATAATAGGTAAGAATCGGCATAACTGAATTAGTTTTTCAGCTGTTTAAGAAAATCTTTTCTAACTGTGCAGGTAACATGTTTCTAATAGGATTCCGTTCTTTTCCAGAATCGTTTTTTTATCTTTAATCAATTTTATTTCTAGACGAGTAGATTAACATAAATTAATTTAGATTAATATGACAGCAACAAATTACATCTCTAAAGAAACCTCGTCACATACAAAATTCTTAAACTTCTTATTAATACTTGACTAACTTTTAATTCAAGTAGATATCTTGCGTAAGCATCCTTTTAAGTCGTCCGTGGATATTCATCTGCTAAGTGCTTCTGTATATTGTATGCGTTCGTGAAACCGAGATGTATTGAGGTTATAAAGGTTATTATATGACCTATTTGTAATTAATTGTGTAGTTGACCATTAGAAATGTACTACTTGTAGTATACTGCAATTCGTAGTATCTTAGAATAAAGTAGTTTTGTCTCTGTTTTATAATCTTTTATGCCTTGCGCCTGTTTATTCCAGAGGTTCTTTGGGTGCATCATTACAATGTGATAGTGTTCTCATTGTTTTTATATTGCATCCAAGTTGATCCTTTTACCAAGTTGCATTTATATAATAATTATTAGGTAGTGCCAAAGCAATTATTTGCATGTATCTAATGCCTTCTACGACGCGTATGTTTAGTAATTAAGGGTTAATGCAGCTTCGAGAATTGTCCAATTATTAATCACGATATCTTCTTTTCTCTCAAAAAATCCTCATTGGTATGAGATTTGAAAGTTTTAATTTTTTAATTTTCATTAAAATGTTAACCAGATTACTCAACACATAACTAAATTTTAGTAAACTTAAACGTACATAAATTATTTATAAAAATAAAAAGTGTTAAAATTATCGTCCATAAATCGATAATTTCCGTGTTTCTCTTTTTCGCATCGTCGTAGAAGTTATTTCGATGTAACATTTAGAAACTTAAAAAAATTTCTACCTACATAATTCTAAAGATATTTTAATTACTGAAGCTCATAGATAAAGTTGTCTTTTTATAAGAAACGCTTAAATTAAACTTTAATTATATATTAAAAAATAAAGATAACCTTCTCCTTCTATATCATAACCAAACCTTAATTAAAAACGTTTAAAATAGCGGTTTATTACGCAATTTATTATAAAATTTTTTGAAATGAGGTATAATATTAATTTAGGAATTACTTGTTTGCTTAAATTGCGGCTATTTTTTCTGAGAAAGAATTGAAAAGGTTGAGTGTAATTGTGTTGCACATCAGCAAATTGGCATAAAATAGGAGGAATTCCTTTCTTTAATGGTTCTTCTCCGGTCGTTTTGTGTGTATGTGTGTGTTTGTGGCCCCGCCCAAAAAATCTCAAAGGAGATGATCTAAGGTGCATCTCTCCCATCTCGCTTGGTGCCCCCTTTTGCTGTGTGGCCGTTTCTTTCGGGGCCGTCCTCCGTTTTCCTCCTATAAATAGAGGTTGCACTTCTTTGGACTATTACATTGAATAAGGTGTAGTGAATAAAGTGACCAACAACCAGTACTGCTTCAAATCACCAATATGAATACTTGGGTAAGTCTTCTTAATACATATTGGCAAATAATTCTTAAGCGTTATTTAAATAGTAACATTAGTTAAATAAAAAAAATTATTCGTTTGTAGATACTTTTCTTAGGCATTTTGGGTTACGCGTCAGCTCAAGGAAGATTCCGACCAACAGGAAATATTGCTCCGGGACAACAAATTGCTATTCTTAGACAAGATAGTGTTTTAAATCCGGATGGGTCGTATCAATGGAGGTGTTATTAATAAAAATAAAAATCAATTAAAAAATCTTGATTTATTTTGTAATTTCTAGTTATGAAACGGAAAATGGTATTTCAGCAAATGAACAGGGCCAATTGAAAAATGTTGGTGGAAAGGAACCGGGAATTGATGCTCAGGGTGGATTCCAGTACACAGCTCCGGATGGAACTCCGATTCAATTAACTTATAGAGCGGATGAAAATGGTTTTCAACCACAAGGAGCTCATTTACCGGTACCACCACCAATCCCAGAAGCGATAGCACGCGCTTTAGAATGGATCGCGGCTCATCCGGAACCGGAAAATCAACCTGGAAGACGGTTTTAAGGCGACACTTTAATTCTTATATCTATTTAATATGTTGTCATCTTTTAAATCCTCAAAGCTTCTTCTCAACCGCCACTTTTTGCGATTTTTTCTTTTATAAGTTTCTTTATTACTTATTTTTGGAATTTATAAAAGAAGATAATTGTACTAGTAATAATGTGTTTTTTGTTGAATTTGTATAATGAAGCTTTTTGGAACAAATTTGAACACGATTGTTTGACGGATTTGTGATTTTTTATTAATTATTTTTACGCTATATTTGTATATATCACTTAAGAAGCTTCCGGATGTGTTTAATTCATTAATTAATGTATTAGTGTGTTTTTTATGTTGTTTTTCGATATTTATTTGCAGAGTAATAAATTTTAAGGAGCATTATCAAGATTTAATTTTTTTTTATTTAAAGAAAATCGAAAGCCGAAAAAAAAATTTAAAATAATCACCTAACCCATTAACCGGATATATTTTCTTAAACAGGAAAGTTTCAGCTTTAAAATAATATAAAGGTTATTTATAATTTTCAAAAGTAAGATATTCACGATTTTTTTGAATATAGGTAATCATTTTTTTTTACAATACATCTAAAATGTGAAAAAACATTAAACAATAACTTTTATAATTGCTAAAAAAGCAAGACTTTAGCTTTAATTTAGTGCAAGAACTATTTATTATCTTTCATAAATATGATCTGGATGATATCTTTAAATTCAACGATTATTGTCTATTTTAATCTTAATGGTCAGATATATTTTATAAAACTTCTTTCAAAAGCGAGACAATTATGTTTGTATTTATTAAAAATAGAATGTATAAACACTTTAATTTATAATGTCAAAATTTTCAAAAACGTAATTTTTCGAACTTGTCATACATTAGCTGTTTAGGTTTAAACCAAAATAGCATCGTCTTTATAATTCAACATTAACCAACTTGCATTATATATATATTGCAACTTCAATTAATTTAAGAACTTGCAAGCATTATGAATAAAGTTCAGCGAACATTATTACTGTTTTTAAATTTTAAGATATAGATAGCCAACAAAACAAACTGAAATATCTAACTTTAACGTGGCACTATGTGTTGCTAAATTATTATCAGAAATAACTTCAATGTATGATAAAACCATGATCTCATCTATTTTTTTAAATATGTTATAGCGATATACGTTAGTGGCCAATAAAAATAAAATATTTCTGTAGCTGCAAATTTATCTATTAATTTCAAGTCAAGACATGTTCAGAAGAGAAGAAGACTACAGCCAGTTTTTTTAAATATATTAAAATGTCCTGCATGTGCTGAATTTATATATTTATTAGAAACAGGAAATACGCGTATTGTAAGTAGATGTTGGATCCTCAGGAGGAAATGACGAATTAACCTCTATCTTTTTGCAGCTGTTGAATTTCACTCGACCTTCGCACCCGTCGTATCAAATCGTACAACACACTCAGGAAAGAGTCATCATACATAACACGCAGCGCAGGAGGTCTAAGTCCCCACTCGCAACAACACCTAAACAACTAACCTAACCTAAACAACATTCCCTCCACACACCTTGTTGTCTATATATGCACTCTAGTGATCCAGCACCATTTCTAGATACTTTATATTATTCCAGGACGCCATAGACCGGGTGGGATAGACCGTTATCTCATATTTTACAACTGGGCTATACTTTATGTGTTTTATGATCAGCATCATGCACGTCTTCTCTACCGCCACATCTATCCTCGCATCTCTCACTCAATCCCTTAGCCTTCTCATCACTCGCGCCCTTTTTCTTCAGCTGCGTCCTGGTATACCTTTTAACCAAGAGTAGCAAATTTTTCGTCCGACTTTTATGTCGCTGCCGTATCCAACTGCTGTCAAAATACACTACCGCAGACCCAACGTTCTTCTCTCCAGCACATTCCACTCTACAGCTCACTCCTAATCCTCTAACACTTTCCATCAAACACATACGGCTCCTAGATGAGCAAAATGACCACGCCCTGTCCAACAATCAGGAGACTACTGCGCTTGCTCCCTCTATTCAATTCACCTATATCAGTCGTATTCTACCTATTATCTACTCTTGCGCGACACAACTCCAGCTCTCTCCTGTACTCCGGGCATTCCGTATCCAAGATACGATTCGTATTAGATACGATCGTTTTTGATCTTACAATTAGAGCACGTCAACGTATTGACCCTCTTCGTCGCATGTCCTGTAAGACTACAGCCCTTTTGAACACGCATGCATCCAAAAAATCAAATTCCCTATGTCCCTATTCTCATGACACTTCTACATTCAAACCTATCTCAGCTATACTTTTGTTTACCTTTGATTGTGGCTTAGTGATAGTGTTCGGCTTATGCGGGACTTAGGAAATAAAACCCTTTCTAAATTTAAAAGAACAAAGAGTCTGGCCGATTTATAAGGATTTGAGGAATCTTGTGAATAATTCTATTAAAAATGAGAAGCGTGCCTATATGACTCAGGAAATCCAAGATTCTACTAATCCGTGGAAAGTGCTTCGTCGAAATAATTTACTAAAATTTCAGGATCATTCCTTGCCAAATAACTTAAAAAATTGTTCTGAATTAAACGACCATTTTTTGAAGACCCAGTGCTCTGGTGATTTTAGAGTTGATAATCTGATAAACGTTTACAATAACTCTAGGTTTGGCCTTAATATCTTTAAATTTAGCCTCATTTCCGAAAGTTCTATCATGAATGTATTGCAGGGCGTAAGGTCGAATGCTGTCGGTGCAGATGGTATTGGAATTCATTTTATTAAACTGGCTTGTCCTGTAATTTTATCTCATATAGTAAACATAATTAATACTTGTCTGGAGGGTGTTTTTCCTTCACTGTGGAAAAAGTCGATTGTCATTCCGGTACCTAAAGTGTCTAATCCCATTGATTTTTCTTCCTTGAGGCCCATAAGTATATTGTGTTCCTTGTCCAAGGTCTTGGAAAAGATTGTTAACAGCCAGCTGATAGACTTCCTGGACTCCGAGCGCATAATTCCGGTGAACCAGTCTGGCTTCAGGGAGGGACATGGATGCGAGTCTGCTCTGAATAACATAGTTGATGACATTGTCATAGCTACTGACTCCAATAAATTGACCCTATTAGGATTGCTGGACTTTTCGACTTTTTTGCTGGCATTCGATACACTTAACCATAATTTATTACTGTCCATTCGTAAACATATTGGTGCCGACCTGTTGCGCTGGATTTTTTCTCCAATTACCTTAAAGGTAGAATTCAATCTGTCTGTGTTGACGGTAACGTCTCGGGACCTTTAGAGATTGAGTCTGGGGTGCCGCAGGGCTCGGTATTGGGGCCCACCATGTTTAAGATTTATACTATAAATTTTAATAGTTTTGTTGATCTTTGTAAAATTCATTATTATGCTGATGACACTCAGATCTACCTGTCCTTCCCTGAAAGCTATTTTGAAGAAGGACTTAATGAGTTCAAGCGTGATCTGTTTAGTATTGTCAGTGGGGCTCGGGAATACTGTCTAAGAATTAATAAAAGGAAAACTCAAATGATCCTATTTGGTCCTACTAAATTGAAAAAAATCTTTATCGACAGATTCTATCACATTTCGCTGGGAAATGTGTCTCTTCCTCTGAGTGGGTCTGTTAGGAACCTTGGCCTGATTATTGATGAGTCACTAAACTTTAGGGAACATGTTAATATGCTGTTGAAGCGGGCTTATGGCTCTCTGAGATTGATTTTCAGTAATCGACATTGCCTTGATAATTCTGTTAAAAAACTCTTGTGTGACTCCCTCGTCTTATCACATTTTAATTATTGTGATAACATTTATGGTTCATTTATTGACTCCCGCCATCAACAGAAAATTCAAAAGCTCCAGAATTCCTGTGTTAAGAAAGTACGATCATGTCTCTTTTACTTTTAAGAAACTTAAATGGATGAATATGAAGTCGCGTCGGTATGTTAACAAAGCATGTTTTTATTATAAGATTATTACGGAGCGGAGCCCCCCTTATCTATTCGACAGAATTAACTTTAGAACGGAAGTACACAATGTCAATATTCGGTTCAGGGGTAGGTTAATTCCTCCTTCCCATCGTTTGGAATTTTTTAAGAGATGCTTCTCATATCAAATTACATCTGTTTATAATAATCTTCCTAAACATTTAGTGGGTCTACCCTTGAACCGATTTAAGAAATCTTTGTGGAACTGGGTTTTGGGTGTGTGACTGTGGGTTTGTGCTTGGTGGCCTCGGGGGATGAGATTCTTGTATGATATCATTTGGACACTCTACAGTATGTGTGGCTAACCATTGTGCATGTTCGACATTAGCCTATGCCTATTAGCCTATTCGTCGAAACATGTTAAGTTGAATTTAAGAATAATAAACCAGTAAAAAGTACAAAAATGAATTAATTATAATTTTCATCGTTTAAATCTTTCCTTTTTGCCCAGATTTCATGCAAATTTTCTCCAGAGACACGTATAGCTCATATCTTCTTTCTTTTTCGACATAGCAGACACTGATGATAACCTAGTTCTCGGGATAGCATCTTCTTTTTCCTGGTTCGCTATAATCGGCCTGACAACCTCCTCCATTCTTTCCACCAACTGCGTGGAAAACTAGGCACGCTGCATGGGATTGCCGGACCTGCCAACATTGCCTACCGAAAACGCACGCCTTTAGTCGAATCAACAGACAACCAACAAACGCAGCCCTACGAAGGAAGTACATATAGAGGTCCCAGCGAGAAACTGTACGACAGCATGTACGCGATAATGGCAGCACCAAGCCACTGCAGTGCCCACGCTACCGCGATTTCACACTCACCAACGCCTCCTAAGTCTAGCAAACCAGTTGTTATTGTCACACAAGTCGTTTGACGCGGAACATCTAACTGCCAAGTACTTTTGAACTTGTTTTCTGAGCAAGGTTGCAACATACTATCCTAAACATCAAACAAATTTCAACAGGCTCATGGCATAACCCGAAAGTTTGTTGAAAATCATTTAATATACTAATGCATATGACATATTCTAACGAATGCGTGTTACAATGGCGTGTGTCTTCATATTTTCCGACTGTATAGATGAAGATTCAAATTTATCAATGACAACAGGGATTGTCAATGAATTCGATAATATTGACNCTCAGTCATAGATAACTTATATAGATGTGACATTTACGTAAAATTTTTGTACACGGCACCAGCGCTCCGAACGGCTCGGCCCATTACTAATATTAAATAGCGGCTAACGTGATAAATTTTAAATAATAAATTTTCTAATTTTTTTGTGTGGAACTAAATAAAAAAAATAAAGACATTTGTGGGATTTTAATAATCTTTTTATTAAAATTATTATCATAACCATAAAGTCTTATTTTAATATAAAAGAAGAATAACTATAAACAATGTGTAATGATCTAATGATTAATGATACACTGTTAAAAATTTTACGAAGTGATTTAACTCTTTCGATATAAGATGAAATATTACCGCGAAAAAGTGGTAAATTTAACTAAATTCTAATAGGTTGCAACACATTTGAATGTCAAAATAACTTTGTTAAAAGATGTTAAAAATACGGTGTTAATCTGTTTATTCCTCAGTGTAATTTTACACTTTATAACACCTTATACCGCTTTCCATTTTGTAGCATTAAATGTAATGCTAATATTTTGTCATGAAGTGTATAACGCCTCCCCTGCAACCTTCTTCCTTCGTTGTCGTATTAGCTCAAAAAAAAAGGATTGTTTTAGTCTGTCTAAACTTGAAATTGACTGCTTAAAAAGTTGTCTCTTTGGTAATAATTTTCTTTTATTTCTTTAGGATGTTATACTCTGGCGCTGGAATTTCCTCTTATACATAACTGCTTTCCTGTATAAATGTTGGGTTTTTTGTGATAAGTCGTCTTGTTTGTGGACACCAACTTCCTCCAATAAACTCTCCCTTTGTTTAGCTGTCAAAAAATATCCAATAATGATCCCGATTAACGCTGTTTGCCCATTAAGCGGGGTTACCCTGTAATATGAAATCAAACTTTAAAAAAATTATACTACATTCTTTTGTAAGAAACGGGAAATTAAACGTTTTTTGAATGATGTTTCGTTTATTAATAAATAACTCTTATTAAGAGTTATATGCCATTATAGGTAATTTAACCAGAGGTTTTCAAAATAAACGATTTATAAAACACATAATTTCTTACCTGAAGTCTCCAATGAGATTGCACTGGTGGATGTTGAAGCAACCTAAAGTCCCATATCTGTATGTGGAGTAGTGGGCGTGTTATTCGAAGCACTTGAGGTACTGACTTCTGAGTACTGATATCCTACATGTGAAAAAAAATATGCCTCAGTCCTAACAACATTTTGATAATTTTATACACATACTGCCAGTCGTTGTACTTTCAACAATTTGTTGTTACGTCCAACATCCTCTCGTCGAAAAGGCTTATCACAAACTCGAAAATTATTATAAACCTTCAAGTGTTCACACTGAAGCAGGTTTTCTCGCACACAACATAAAACCCATCTTTGATATATTTCTGAATACATTTGTGGGTTTGGAAATCGGTAGAAACTTCCANACGGTCCATTTTAAACTAAATAAGTTAATCCAGTCGTCTGGGAGGGTGTACGATGTAAGGCCAATGTTTACACAAATATTTGCCTACTTGCGTAATTGCCAAGTACACCAGTCATCTGGGAGGAGCAACGATTTAAGGCCAATGTTTACACAAATATTTGCCTACTTGCGTACTTGCCAATTAGACCAGTCGTGTGGGGCCACCTTTAGAAACTGTATTACCCAAATATCTCCGCAGGAATTACGTCGAGTTGTTAGATCGACAATACGGAAGATACAATTATGTCAAAATTGAGGAAAAATTTAGAAAATTAGTTTTTTTGTACTTATGATTGAATTAAATTTACTTGTTTCGAGTTTTTCTTTTAAAACTAATTTAATACAACTGTTAATTTACACCATTATTAAAAAAGAACCACTGACTAAAGCATAGCAGTGATAACTGCTCGAGAAATGGTAAATCAAGAGGAACATAACGTAGTTTATACTATTAACCTAGGTACTATGCGTCAAATGTTGTAATACATTTTCCGAAGGTACTAAAACGTTAAAAAATAATGAAAATAATTTTTTTTTCAAAAATTATAAGCGATTGTGAAAATTTTTTCATGTAAAAGTTATGTGAAGTTATGTGTTTTAACGGCCTAATTATGCATTCCAAATGGTTTTCTTATATGACTAATAATAAAAAAAAATATGGGGGTGAGCCACTTTTGAGGGACACCCGGTATATTATTATTCTCAACTGCTGAATACTTTGCGCTAGTGGGTCAACAGTACTTATGTCCACAGAATCGATGGTTAGCTCAATAACATAATAAGAATGATCGTGTGATTCTCCACAGTCGTACAGTAATTATGTTTCTAGCCCACTTGTAATATAAATAACTATTATAGCATTCTATTTTAGTGTTATCTTACTTTGTCGTATATTTTATATTTTGATTGTGATTTCCGTTTTCAATGTGCCTCTTGGTCTTCGACACCATACACAAAATAAATAAATAATTGTGGATATATATATGTATGTATCCACAATATAAATTAATATTTTAATAAATAATAATACGAACTACATTCACAGGACTGATAAAATCGATTGATTATTATTTTGAATGATAATAATATTAATAATTTTATATAGTAACGTTCTCCTTTGTTTTGTACATGTCGTGTGCACAGCATGCTACAATAATAATGTAACAAACATGAGTTTGCAACTTGTGTTTTGAGTCATTGCAAGCACAAACTTGAAATTTTGGATTATAAGTTTATGATTTCATTCGCAGCAATAGCTTTTAATCAATCAACTCAAATGACAGATGTCTTTAGATTGTAGATGTATTTTAAGTGTAATTCGATTTTAAATTAGGTAGAGGAAGTAAAATTATATGTATTTTAGATTATAATTTTATTTTTTTCCAATAACAAAATAAAAACTTTTCAATTTACATTTAATTGCTTTTTTAATTTTTTCGTCAACATGAAAGTTATCTTCCAGCCAACGAAGCTAAAGCACCTGATGAAATACCCAATGGCTTTGTCCTTTTAACGCTTGCAGCTGGCGGAATATGTTCACCTTCCGGTTGAAATCCGTTTTCGTCAGCGGTGTATCCAACTTCATAAGTTTTACCATCATCTCCTACATACGAATAGTATCCCTTAACCGCCAACGATTCGTTCTCTTTACCTTCATTAACCAATTCGCCTATTTCAAATTTTTTCTGCCCATCATCTTGTTCAATACTAAAAAAAGTAGAAGTGATTATTAATTACAACTTAAATTGATTAAATTTTTCGGATTATTTTTTCTTACGCAAACTTATATCCTGTTCCAGTTAATTCATTTACATATCTAATTGTTTTTGCACCGACGTTTTGAACAAATTGTTGAAGTTGAGGTCTGGCTGCGGCGAAGGCCAAAAATCCAACTAAGAACAGAATCTTAAGCAAACAAACAAAATAAAAATTAAGAAGGAAATAGATATCTATAAATCTTGACATTTAGATAAAAAAAAAGCATAAGGATGAGTCGTTGACCGTGACATATTACAACATGTAAGACAACATGTTAATTATTACGATTAAAAAAGCAAAAAAATAAATCATGTTAATGATATTCTTTGATTTTTGTTTCTCAGGTTATATAACTTTAAAAAGAAAATATCAGTTAATGATTTATTATTGTTTAATGTGGGTCAGAACTTGTACACGCGTGATTAACACCTGAAGGCCAATTTAAACGAAATTATAGGAGAAATTATAGGAAGAAGACGCACTCATCAGTGACGAAATAATTTTGTAAATGCCACAACGTAACCCACAAAGCAATTACGTTAAGTCCAACTATCATTGGATATTTCTTCAGAGTAAGCAAGTACCAGAAAATTTTTTTAAACTATTGACATTTTGCTTCGATGATTATTTAAGCATCATTTCCTTTTATTTCAAATCATTTCTTCATTTAAACTTTTTAAAATAAAATTAATATATGATAATAAGTGTTAAACAAATTTAAATTTAAAGTTCGTATAAATGTAAATGCTTTTTTTTCTTACCAATTTCATATTCAACAACACCTCTATCTTACTCTTTCACTATTAACGCAAAACTGCACAGACTAGAATTGAAGAGGACACCTGCTTGTTCTTCGTTTATATACCAGTTAGTAGTTTACTGGGGATCCTTTTTCCCATTCTTTTTTTTATTTTCAATGTTAAATTTGGAATCAATACAATGCTTTCACTTAAAATGTGATGTGTTACCAATTTGACTATTGTATTTAAATTCTACGATATATCATGCTTCCTAAAAATTCAATTATTTTATCTTATTAATGTATATCTAATGGAATTTCCATTTACATTTATTGGAATATTTCCTAAAACATAACTGTCATGCAAAAATAATTTTTATTGCAATTCAAATAACAGCGCAAAATAGAACGTAAAGCAGTATAAATCCCCGTTAAGTGTATGCAAATATTAAATGCATAACATTTTATCTGACTTCACAGCATTTTATAAACAGAGTATCAACATTCATCTTCAATGATGGAAAAATACTCAATAAAATTCATTCTAAACTTTATTCTCTCTTGAAATACGATGTTGTAATATGCTGTTGCATTCTTAGCAAGTTAATCAAAAATCAAGTGTAATTAAAAAAGTGATATCACCTCGATTTATAGAAATGAAAGAAATATATTTTATTACATCTTGATAAATCAATTACTTTTTTAGATACGATTTTCTTAAGTTGAAAGATTATAAACTTAACTTGTTATAAATAAATGAATATAGATGGATGCATTATAAAAATAATAACAGCGAAATTTGTTGTAATAAAGAAATAATTATCAACTCGCTGAATATAAATTAAATTTGCTTTAAAATGGTGTTTACACTCATTATTGAGGTAAGTAAAGTGACTCAGTGCAACAACCATTCTGGGGGGTGAAAAATTCCAAGTCAGGGTGAAAGTACTAGGCCAATATAGTAAAACCTTTTTGGGTTTTACTTCTTCTTCTTGGGTTGGGCGTTGTCAGACCAAAATTTTTTTTATGACCTTTTATATTATTTCTTTATCTTGATGTTTGTTTGCTTAGTTTTTCAGTTACAACTCAAGAACCATTGATGATTTCTCATTTCATTCTTGCATTCTTAGCAAAATTGTAGCTAAGGCTTCAATAAATAATTTTTATTGATATATCCATGTAAAAAATTAAGTTGGACTAATTTTATCGAATTATTTCGAAAAAGAAAACAAATTCCTTTTGAAAAACAACGTCTTTGCTCGAGTTTTACGAATTGCAACTATAAGCAAGTATTGTTTTTATGCAAATTATTAACAAAAGTTAAGGAAAAGCAAAGTTTAAAGAAGAACAAAGTTTATCTGTTCATAAACATTGCTCTAGACCTTTTCGGTGGTGATTGTTCGTCATCGTTGTCATCAGTTTCTAAGCCACACATAATGTCAATTTGTGACTCTACTGCTGGTCTTATTGCACCTTCTGATTATTGTTCATCATCAAGATCATCCATGTCTTCGACCACATGCCTACTCCATCAGCAAATTTCCGCAAATATTGTACTCGGCGAGTTTTCCCTGTGTATCTGATTTTTTTTATTAAAATGAGTTTGAAAAAAAAATTACTCATAATGATGGCGTTCGCCTTGTTCATCAGTTTCAGTGGCTAATTGTCTGCTCAAGTAGTCCAGATGATGATGTAAATAACGAATTTTCAAGAACAAGTGGACGCCAATTTCCGAGAACGATGTTAACATCTTTGCGATAGAATCATCGTATTAAGGAGCACGATGCTTTCCTAACAAGCCTTCTATTACTTCTTTAATTGCCTTCCAAACATCCAATCCAGCGTCAACCGAAATATTGTTGAATGCGTCACTTTTAATTAGCTTTCGTATATATGGACCATTTAGTACGCCTGATGGAAAAAATGAATTTATTGCGATAGAAAATCATGAGAAGAATCATTTTGAAAAGTTGGAATTTTCCACGAAATTGAAAAAATTTATATGTTATTATGACTACCTTCTTTAATTTTACTTTCGCTGAGTCTCGGGTAAATTAATTTCAAACACAAGAAAACTGTATCTCTTTTGGCGACAGTTTTGATGAAATTCTTAATAATTCCAAGTTCAATATGCAGTGGAGGCAGCAATATCTTCTCTTTCGGCCCCAAATGTTCACGAATAATATTGGCCATTTCTAACCCGCTGTGCTCTCTGTGTTTCCAACTTTTATATCGCACCATATGCGCCACATATGTTTAGCATTTTTAAAATATTTTCTAGTGCATCATATATCTCTTTCGTTTCTGTACTATGTGCGATTGGAATGGTCTTTGGCCACTTACAACACCAACGTAATTATACGATTTTCTTACCGTTTTTCTCAATGCTGCTCCTTTATTCGCACATGCGTAGCAATTCAATGGGTTGTGACCTTCGCCAGGATTAGTCCAAATCATTAGGATACCGAATGTCTTTTATTTTTTTAATCAATTCAATTTTTGTTCACTATAACATTTTGGTTGAAGTATATCTCGTATGTTTAAACAAAATCTGCGTTGAAATCTCCCTTTTTTTCATGTTTTGGTAAATAATTACAGGGTTGAATTAAAAATATACAGAATGTTCCTGTAAGTCGTGCCATAATTTTAATCACAAATACTGGACTAAATCCATAAATGGCTAACATAAGACATGGGCTTTCAAAGTTGAGAAATATTTAAACATTTTCTTAAATATTTTCAATATGGTTTGTCTTAGAAAGATTAAATTTAATTATTTTAATGTTATTATGGATATTATACCACTGTATACAACCACGGGATCAATGCTATACAGCTGTCCACATGTCCACAAAGGTTATTTCCTTAAAACTTTTTTATTATATCATAAACCCTTAAATCATACAACTGGTTCTAAATGCCTATTTCATTTTAAAATTATTTTCACTCTTAGAAATAATGTTTGTTTAGGCGCATCACTAATTTGACATATTGCTTAACTGCTTTACTTACGATTTATTTTCAAGGGCGCCATGGACGAGGTTGTAACCTTTCGTGAATAACTCTAAGACTTAAGATGATTTTAAAATGAAATAGGCTTTTAGAATCAGTTGAAAATTTTTTAGGGTTTACAACATAATAAAAACGTTTTAAGGAAATCACCTTTGTGGACAGCTGTATAGCATTGATCCCGTGGTTGTATACAGTGGTATAATATCCATAATAACATTAAAATAATGGTACATTTTAATAAAGATTATATTTTTATTGTATGAACTTTACAGGGACGCTCATTTATTGTAAAATATGAATGAGTAAGGTCCACTTTTACCACCTCTTGATAAATTTATCCGATAGATAATTACCATGGTTACAGCGGTTTTAAGCGCTCTCATTGGTTAAGAGCGCCAATTTATCTATCGGATAAATTTATCAAGAGGTGGTAAAAGTGGGCCTGAATTGATTAATAATTAAAAATAATAATTTTGTATAGCAACACGATGTTGTTATTACATGTTGTGTGCACAGCATGCTACACATACTTTCAAAAGTGATCTTAAACGCTTTCTCATGATAACATTGCATGGTTTGCCAAATTTTATCATTTTAAGACAAACCATATTGAAAATATTTAAGAAAATGTTTAAACATTTTTTACTTTGAAGGTCCATGTCTTAAGCATTTATGGGTTTAGACCAAAAATTTTTACACGAATCGTCATCATTTAATACATACACTACTAAATTTTTGAATCTTCTGGACGCATATGGGTTGTTGCAACTGGTGAACGAGCCTACTCGTATTACTTCTTCCTCGGAAATCTTGATAGATGTTGTTGTTTCTTCTTGTGTCGATTTTGCGTTTACTTCACTGGACAGTTTGCATGGTCTAACTGATCATGAATTGATTAGATGTAGCTTGACAGTCGCACCTATTGTTACTGAACCAGTTTTTAGGGCTTACCGGGATTTTAATTCTATCAATCTTGTTGATTTTACTGCTGAACTGGAGTCGTTGCCGTTCTCTTTAATTTATGAACTGGATGACGTTAATATCAAAGTTAATTTTTTTAATAATCTTATTATTTCAATTTTCGATAAATATGCTCCACTAAGGAATAGACGATTTTCTAAAAGACGTAGTCCTTGGCTTACGCCGCAGTTAAAACAAATGATGTGTTTGAGGGATAGGGCTTACTCTAAATATAAGCACTCTAAGAATATTAATGATCTGTATAGTTACAAAGATTTGAGGCGGTACGTGGAAGGAGCGATAAGAAGAGAGAAAGAGGCATACTTTGGTTCGGTGGTGGCTCAGCGTAGTTCTGCTAAGCTATGGCGGGTCCTTCGTGATTGGGGTGTCGCCAGACAGAGGCGCCAACCATTGCCCGGGAGTTTAGGTAATGCAGATGAGATAAATGATTATTTCGCTAGATCTTCTGAATTGGGAGGGGTTGTTGATCAGGATGTTGTTGACTTCTATAATAATTCTAAATTAAATCCTACTAATAATTTCCTATTTGAAACGGTAGATGAATACATTGTCGGTTCACTACTTTTGAAGTTAAAATCAGGCTCGGTTGGTTTTGATGGTGTTTCATCCTTAATGTTGCATCTTTGCTGTCCCCATATTCTACCTTTTGTAACACATATTATAAACTACTGTTTAGCTAACTCAGTTTTTCCAGACGCTTGGAAAACTGCTAAAGTGATCCCACTGCCTAAGATAGCCAATCCTACTTCGTGTGGTGACCTTAGGCCGATTAGTATTTTGCCTGTTTTGTCTAAGATTTTGGAAAAAATCATGGCCTTTCAGATGAGATTTTTTGTTGAGGGTTGCAGTGTTTTGCCGACGACACAGTCTGGGTTTCGTAAAAATCATGGATGTGGTACAGCATTGATGCATATAACTGATGATATACTGCGGGCAGCTGATGATGACATGGTTACGGCTTTAATTCTTTTCGACTTTTCGAAAGCATTTGATACGGTGAATTATACAGTTTTGGATTCTATTCTAAAGTACATTGGGTTTTGTACTAATGCTGCTGCCTTAATATTGAATTTTCTTTCTGATCGAAGACAGGTCGTTTCCTGTGGCATGATCGTCTCGGCTGCCCGTGGATTAATGGCCGGTGTACCACAAGGTTCTGTATTGGGTCCGCTCTTATTTAGCATTTATACTTCTGGTCTCCAAAATTGTCTCAAATATTCTAAAGCTCATTTTTATGCCGATGATTCTCAGATATATTATTCTTTCAGACAGGATGATGCTCCTGTGGCCCAACTTAGGATTGCGGGTGATGTTGCTCGGTTTACCAAAATGGCTGCCAGTCACAACTTAAGATTGAATCCCTTAAAATCGGTTATGTTGTTGTTTGGTAGACGCAATGCCCGCAACGCTTGCTCTCATTTTAGAATTGAGCTGGATAGTGGTGACTTGGGCGTTGCGGGTTGTTGTCGTAATCTTGGCCTCCTAATGGATTGTGATGTCAGATTTAGGGATCATGTTACTTTAAAGGTCCGTAAATCATTTGCGGCGCTGAAGCTTATTTATAATATTAAAAACTTTTTATCTAGGGACATTAGGGCGAGACTGTGTGACGCCTTGGTACTCAGCCAATTTAATTTTTGCGACACGGTATACGGCACTTGTCTGGATCAGGTAACTGCCGGCCGTATTCAGAAAGTTCAGAACGCCTGTCTGAGACTGATTTTTGGGTTGCGTTTGAGAGATCACGTTACATGTTTTTTGAAGGAGGTGGGTTGGCTTAACATGGCTAACAGGAGGAAATTACATCTGTTAACTTTTTATCATAAATTACTTTTATTTAAGTCGCCTTCTTATCTTTATAATAAAATATCATTCCGGACTGATGTTCATAATTTGAACATCAGATCCAAGGGCTTGATTACTCCACCTCAGCACCGCTCGGTTTTGTTTCAACGGTCTTTCTCTTTTAATCTACCCAGGCTTTACAACCCGTTGCCAAGTTCTCTTAAGTCGTTGCCACTGAGCACCTTCAAAAAAGAGCTCCGCGAGATCATTGTCTGTGACCAGAATGGGGCTAATGAGTAATTTATATCATTTTCGATTTTTTTACTATGAGTGTTATTTTTATTACTTTCTCTCTGAATGGCTGTTTTGTTGGTATTAGTATTATTGTCAAGATCGAATGTTTTATGTTTTGTTTTTGAATTTTTGTTTTTTTTTTTTTTTAACGCAGGGTTGGGTGGTAGAGAGGACTATGGTCCTAACTCCGCCCTGCGCACATTTATAATCTTTTTTTCTGTTGTTTCTATTAATAAAGGCATTATTATTATTTTAACTCTAGTATTTGTAATTAAAATAATGCCACAACTTACAGAAAAGCCTTGTATATCAGCGGGATTTACAGGAGCGGAGGAAATATTTTTAGTGTATTAAAGCCGGATTAAATTTGATAATATCTCTGTTACTTTTTTTAATATGGTTTTCACAAATTCAGTTTTTATAAGCTTATGTTGTTGTAAGTGAAACTATAAAGGTTTACTCCTTATGTGTAAATAATTTAACTAAAAATGAAGAAGAAATAAATAGGTTACTGAATGTTAATGAACTATAATTTTATCTAACACTTGCAAAGTTTTAAGCAAAACATGTATGACTATTTTAGAGAACAGGAACGTTTACGCTAGAGTATAACAAAGTTCGAGCATTATCAGCAACAATTCTCTATGGGTCTTCAAAAAGTCGCCAAAATTTCTTAGCAGTATATTTTTTAAAAATATGTTATAACAGAGAGGTTTAATGCAACACGTTGTTTGTTTTATAATTAACGAATCACTTCTGATATATTTATAGGAATGAAGAAACGATTCATATCTTAAATTAAAGTTTAAAATGATATTTGTATATTTGTATACTTATTAAAATGTGTTAGAATTAAAAAATGGTTGGGTTTTAATATAAATTTACTTCGTGTTAATATTAAAACACCATTACCACGTACTTCACTGTTGCAATAGTACAAGTAAGACTTTTGTAATGTTAGGAAAAACTTTTTTCTCGCATTACATTACAATAGACATTGTACTCGCGTACTACATCATAATTTTATGTAATTAATTAAGTTTTTACGAGTTTACAATATTTTCTTATTTATTTTTAAAATTATATATTTATTTATTCTAACCTACTAAATTTGAGTTTGTATATCATTTTAAGAATTTTCATCATATACTAAATTACCTTTGACATTAGAAAAGGTTTTCGTTTGAATGTCAACAGTTTTAAATTCCAAATTGATCGTTACAACATAACTTTTTATCCTTGTACCATCCGGTAAGAACCAGATCAAACTTAATTTATATTAAACAAACTTTTTTTTCTTTCTTCTCTTTTTCATTTATTATTACTTATACATAAAATAAATACTTTTTAAAAATATGACATAACTTGAATATTAATGTTGTTTTCTCATTTTAATCCTGCCTTCAATATTGTTGTTGTTCATTGAGCAATTGTGTTGTGTTGCGGAATATGTTCGCCAGTTGGTCTGTACCCGTTCTCATCGGCCACATAATTAATCGTGTATGTAACACCGTCCGAACCGACATAAGAATATGAACCTTGAACTACGAGAGCTTCATTATCGGTTCCTTCATTTTTCAATTCCGCATTTTCTTCTCTACTCATACCATCACTTGTTTGATATCTAAAAAAAATCATGTCCCAAAAAAACATTTAAAGATTTCTAAAATATTCCTTAAAGATTTACAAACTTACTGAAATTTATAATTTCCATTGCCATGTTTATTATAATCCTGCTGTAAAATTGTAGCTTCCTTAGAAGAATCCTGAACGGGCGATAAACAATTAGAATATCCAAAGAAACCAATACAAATAAAAACGGTTATTATTTTCATTTCCATTTTCTTTTATTAATTTTCACTTTAAGTAACTTTAAAAAATTTAAAAACAAATCGGATGTAACGTATGAAATTTTTCGTTTAGTTCTGCTGTTTGATGCTTCTCCGTTCGTTTTATACCCGAACTTTTCAAAAACGACGTCGTAACATCCGTTTTTTTTCCAATTTCATTCATTCATCGGTGTTTAAATTGTTTGCATTGTTTCGCCATAAATTTTGAAAGTATACCTCAAAATTCGGTTATTAGGACTCTAAATTGTATGTTACAGTTGTATCGATTCGTATCTGAATTGAATTTGCATTCAATGAAGAAATTTCAAAGAGAGTATAAATCATTTGTTTTATATACTGGCTAATTAATAAAAGTAGATGATATAGAGTAAAAAGAAACATAAATAATAAATTAAAAAAATTACGTTTCGATATAAATAAATGGGTATTTGCATCAACATAAATAGTTGCCGATTACCTAAAACACATTTTCTTTTGCTGAAGACAAAGTATTACAAATCAAATACTTCTATAAAAATCTATCCCAAACATTTTATTTCTTCTTACAATAATTGCGCAACAATGTTTCCTCTTGATAATAAACAAGCAGAAGTGTGGAAAACAAGAACTTCAAAACCATATTTCATGAGTATAGTTTTTTGAACAAATGAGTATGCCACTAAAGAGTTAAAAAATTGTTTCAGAGTCTTTAGAAGAGATTCCCTGCGTACAAAGTTTGTGTACAGGGTGTCCCAATTTCGATGTCCGCATAGGCTACCTCCGAAACTAAAAGAGATAGAAAAAAGTAGCTTACATGTCATGATCTCGTTTTTCGAGAAAATGCTAATGCCGAAAACTCCGAACAGCTATCGTCTTTTGTTTTCGCCCTATCGGCAAAAACTGAAAATTTTGCGAAAACGACAATCGCGAATATCTCACTTATTATCAAAGATGGAGTATTATAAATAAAACATTATATGGGCAACTTTTTACGAAGAATTCAGTGGCGTAGGTAGAATTTTTTTCCCATCTTTTATTTTCGAGATTTTAGACGTAACTTTATTTTTTTAAATGGAAACCATAGTTGGCTATGACTTAAAATAATTTGTTATTTTCTTCTGATAACAAATATATATAGTTTGTGGGGTATATTTCTTATAGTTATTGAATAATTAACAAAAATTCATTTTGTTCCATCTAAATCTAATGTATGTATTTAAAAGTTAATGTTGCTATGGTGATAACCATACATACTATGATGGAATATAATGTATCAATTTTTTTTGTTCTTTCTAAAACTATTGTATGTATTTAAAACTTAATGTTGTTATGGTGATAACCATACCATGAGGGAAAGCATTGTTTCCAATTATTGCCAAAGTTTGTAGCAAGGACAGTAGAATCTAACAGGACTGCTACATCCATTGTTGTGACAGCCTACCCGCAAACTACGTCACACCATTTTCCACGCCCAGCTGTTGTTATGGTCTATGCGTTTGCTGTGTGTTTTTAGAGGTTATATCCTAGACGTATTCATATTAGTTTTGAAGTTTTATGTTTTTAGACGTATTAATGTCTATCATATAACCTCTAAAAACATAGACAGTTACCAGGCGTGGCAAATAGTGTGACGTAGAGTGCGGGCAACCAACCCGTAGTCGACTACAAAAATACAATGGATGTAGCAGTCCTGTTAGATTCTACTGTCCTTGAGTTTGTAGTAGTATTTAAAAATTCACTAACAACTCTGGCATTATGTGCTGGTGCTCCGTCATATTGAAAATATATCATTTGAGACATATTTAGTGGCAAATTGTCGACCAAAGGCTCAATGTGCTGCCTTAATATATTGAGGTATTTCCCTGAGTTTAAGTTTTTATGGTAGATACTATATGCCAAAATTCTATTATCTAAAAGGGCACACCATACATTGAACCCCAATCTTCTTTGAACACTCAGAGACTTCATCGGTCCAGATAACATTTTGAACAAACAGCAGATTATTTAATTTTTCTAAATATCATCTACAAAATTCTAATCTTAGATTGACATCTCCGGCATGTAAATAATGAGTAAGCCCCGCTTTGTATGGTTTATACTTATTTTTCTTTCATATTCGGGAGCAGCGGCTTTTGGGTCAGACGTCTTGTTCAATTTCTCTGCAAGATGTTGATGGATTTATCGCAAGTGAAGCCAACACATTGACTTCATCCTCTTACAGATCATTTTGGTATATTTTTGCACGTGGTTTGGGGAAGGACCAAAAATCTATTAAATTTTCTGCTAACCGGCTGAAGGTTCTTACGTGCGGTGTCTTCTTTCCGGATACCTTGAGAAATATCATTTCGCGGCTAACGTCGCGTTCTTATGTGATAACATATAGCATTCCATCATGTCACATTTTTCATAATTTTCGAAATTCATTGTAAAGTTTTATTCAGTTTTGTTATACTTTGACACTTAACATGCTGGTGCATCGTACCAGCACATAATGCCAGAGTTGTTATCGAATTTTTAAATACAAACTTTGGCAATTATTTGATACATTAT